GCAGGCAAAACATTCATGCACATAAAAATAAATAAACATTTTTTAAGTTATAGTCTGCCCAATGCTGTCAAAATTAAAATGTTACTAGATTTCATATAAAACCTGCATATTGCGGGGCACTGGTGGCACATGCCTTTAATCCCAGCACTCAGGAGGCAGAGGCAGGCGGATCTCTGTGAGTTCAAGGCCAGCTGGTCTACTGAGAAAGTTCCAAGACAGCCTCCAAAGCAATACACAGAAACCCTGTTTCAAAAACAATAACAAGAAAAACACCCTGCATATTCAGGAGCTAGAGTGTAGTTCAGTTGTAAAGTCCTTGCCTAGTACACAGAAGGCCCTAAATTCCAGCTTCAGCATTGAATAAACTGGACAAGATGGTGTACACTTGCACAGCAAAAGGAAGAGGACCAGTAGGTCAAGTCCACCCTGAACTACAGAATGAGTTAAAGTTAACTAGGTTATAAAGACCCTGTTTCTATAGTAAATAAATTCTGACACTCAGATTCTCATGAAACCATTTGAAAAATTGAAAAATTTGGTAACAGTAGTTGTAGAATAACACATTTCATTAACTCTGGTATGAAAGATGGATATTCACATATTTGTACATGTGTATGTAAACGTGTGTAGAGGTCAGGTGTCTCTTCAGTCACTCCCTACCTTACTTTCTGAGATAAGGTCTCTCACTAAATCTGGAGCTCACTCATTTGGCTAGTTTAGCTGGCCAGCAAGCCCCAGGGAGATCCTCTTATCTCCACCTCCTAGGGCTGTGGTAACAGGTATGCAAGCACTCCCTACTTTTTATGTGAGTGCTGGGTATCTGAGCCCAGATCTTCATGTTTACATGGCAAGCATTTTACTGACTAAGCCATCTCCCCAGTCCCTCATTCATTTTGAAATAATAATGTAGACACTTTGATCATTAAAATTCTAAACCATCTCAACCAACCTTCCCTTGATTATAGTATTTTGGTCTTTTTAAAAAATTATTATATTTGGGGCTCAGAGATTAAGAACACTGGCTGCTCTTCCAGAGGTCCTGAGTTCAATTCCCAGCAACCATCTGTAATGAGATCTGATACCCTTTTCTGGCCTGCAGGCAAATATGCAGGCAGAATGCTGTATACATAATAAATAAATATTTTTAAAAATCATTATATTTGTTTGTATGTATATAAGCATGCAAGTACACATGGGTGGAAATTAGATGACAACTCAGGTCGTCAGTCAGGCTTGGCAGCAAGCACCTTTACCTGCTGAGCTATCTGCTATCCCTGTATACAAATTAACACATAATGAATGAAGTTGGGCATGGAAACTCACCCCTGCAATACCAGCACTCAGGAGGTAGGGTAGGAGAACCGCCTTGGGTTCAAGGCCAGCTTAGGCTACATAATGAAACCCTGCCTCAAAAAGAAACCTAATATATAATCAATACTACCACACTCATAAAAGAAAAGAGGGAAATGTGGTATTTCTCAAACTTGTTTTTCTAAATATCAAACACATTTTGGAAAATCTGGCAAATACAAATTTTTAAAAACATAAACAATCTTTAAATAAGTATCAAAATAGAAATGAAGAAAATGGAAACTACTTACAAATATTAGTCCAGATATCAAAGAAGATGTCCCTGTAAGTGCCACATAGAACTTGGGTGTCAACGAACTTAAAAACCCTGTCACTGTTAAAAGAGAAAACAGCAGAGATTTTACAAGGCACAATTTAAAGTACACTGTAGTTATATAAATATCTTTAGAGGAGGGAGGCAAGCAACACAGGTGCCTGACTTGGTGAGGTTATGTCCAAACAAGACTATAAATTGAAAATACTGCAAGTAAAAAATGTAGGTTATATCTCTAACCTTCCAAATGTCATAGCTTAGCAACATAATGCCTTGGATAGCACTGGTTGTTTACTCTCCACATTGTATGAATGATGAGTGGGAACCAGTGACTTACAACTGCCCAGCATCATTGAGACCATCTTGCTAGTTTGGAAAAGATCAAAATTCAAAATTTCTCCTGAATGCAGACAGCTTTTCCACCATTGCAAAGTTCAAAATGTCTAAGCTGACCATCCTAGGTCAATAATTATCTATATTATTATCTAAAGTAAAATTCATTTGAAAAAGTTATAAAAACAAATGGTATATATTTTAAAAAGTGACTTTATATCTCCATTGTCTCATATCTTAAGAATCTTCTCATATATATAAAAGTATTTCACACTGTTTTTAGTTAAATAAGAAGTGAATCATAATGAGGCTTAGCATGTACAAGGCCCTAGAATCAATCTCCAAGGTCAAAAAGAAAGAAAAAAGAAAAAAAGCTGGGCAGTGGTGGTGGTGGTACACTCCTTTAATCCCACATCTCTGTCAGTTCAAGGCCAGCATGATCTACAGAATGAGTTCCAGGACAGCCAGGGCTATACAAGAAACCTGTCTTGAAAAACAACAGAACAACAAAAAAGAAAATCAAAAGTTAAAATGAAATAATTTAACCTGCTTTTCTAAAAGTCTAAAAACACAAGCTATAATTTCACTAGAACTTTAGTTCTATAGTAAAAAGTTAAACATACTTTGAAAAAGTGATTCTAATAGAGTCCAGGCTGCTCTCAAATTCACTGAGGATGGAGCTGAGGGTGACCTTGAATGACTGATAATCCTGTACCCACCCCCAGGTGTTGGGATCACAGGCATGCACCAGCATTCCTGGTTTATGGTGCTGAGAATTGAACCCAAGGCTTCCTGCATGCCAGGAAAGCACTCTACCAAGTAAGCTATATCTTTAGTCCCAATTTTGAGTTAAAAATAAAATGTCTATAGCAATCAAATCTCATCTAAAGGAAACATGCAGTTAAAAATGTAGAAAATGAAACCAAAGTAGCAGGTTTGGGAATTCAAGCCTGTAATTCTAGCATTCTGGAGGCTGAGGCAGGAGGACTCTGGCATGCGGATATTCTGAGAGACAATGTGTAAAATAAATTTTTTAAAAGACAGGCTAGATAACACATGCCTCTAATCCCAGCATTTAAAAAGTGGTATTCAAAAGATCAAGAGGCCAGGTGGTGGTGGCGCACACCTTTAACACCAGCACTTGGGAGGCAGAGGCAGGTGGATCTCAATGAGTTCGAGGCCAGTCTGATCTACAAAGTGAGTTCCAGGACAGCCAGGACTGTTACACAGAGAAACCCTTGGGGGGGGGGGTGTCAAGAGTTCAAGGTCAGTCTTGGCTATAGAAAAAGAAACAACAAACTCAGAGAACAGCATTTTAATGCGCACACAAACCATTAAGCACTTCATCCACCTGTTACAGACAAATAAGACAGGCATGTGGTACCTAAGCATTTCAGAACATTATCCCACAGTCTTTCATGTTATCACATGGGATAGAAAAGAGAGACCACTGCCTTCTCACAGGATAGAAACATTAATGGAGTCACCACTTAACAGAAACACTTCAGTCTTCTGAGGCTGCAGAAAGAAATACTGCAATAGCACCACGAAAGGCTCAGGACCCCATCGTTTCACCCACTTATTGCTAAGGAATAGTACTTGCAAAATATACACAAGACTGGCTTACAGTCTTTATCGTTAGCCCAGGCTACACAACAAACATTGTACAAATGCTGAAAGAACATATTAAACAAACCCACCGCTGTCTGTGCTTCTCTTCCTCTCGCTTTCCTGTACTATTTTACTATTCATGATAAAGTCAGAAGGATAAAAATACCACGAAAAACGTTTCTTAACAGAACTATCTTACGATAAAAGCATGGTCCACTAAAGCACTTTCTCTCTTGTATTACAGATGTGTTGATTTTCTGGGTGCGGGTTCTTTAAGTTAGGCAGCTGGAGACTCAAAGGCATGATTTTAAAGATGGCCTGCAAATGATACGAATGTATATAAAATTGTGTGTCCTATCTGGGAATGCTCTCTTCTGTCTTACTACCTGAAGCATGCGGCTTGTCAGGTAGTTTTTCCTGCGGTAACGTAGGCAGAACAGAGAGCGCGAACCTTCAGAGCTCTAGGGAGGGGCCGGCAAACTGCAGCACAGGTTTGACAATCAGCTGCCGGGTTGTTGTGGCCCAAGAGAAAAAAATACCCCCACTGGAGCATGCAACACCAATTCCTTCTCCAAAGCCCTCCACGACTCCCCGAGAATCTCGGCGCTTTGGCGCTTGTCCCCGACCGTCCAGGAGGTTTGGGCCTCTCACCCGCTGTCACGTTGTCACACAGCCTCAGTGGGACCCTCAGAGCGTAAAGCAGCCCCAGCCCCGCCAGGAACCACAGCGTGGACCCAGAGTTCGCCAGCCCGGCCTTCAGCCGCTCCTTCCAGCCCAGCGGCGGGCCCAGGCCCAGGCCGGGAACAGGTGCATGGGGACAGCCCACAGCCCGCGCGGCTTCCGCGAAACACTCCCCGTCCGCCATCTTGCGGCTCCGGCAGGCGCCGGGACCTGGGAGGGGAGAAGGGCAGGAAGCCCGGAGTTGGGAATCCTGGGATAGTGGCGGACTTGAAGCTGGTCCCTGTGACGGCTGAGTCCCGGGGAACCCGACAGAGATCTGGAAGGCGACGGAGCGCGTCCTCAGACTGAGGGGCTACCTAGTCCTCTAGGGCGGGGAAGGATCGGATGGTGGCACTTATTCTGCAGGAAACGGACTCAGTGTGGCGCTGGAGGGAAGTGGTTTTGGTTCCATATGAGGTTGAGGGTCACCCTTCGCCCCGTTGCGGGGCTGGAAAAGTACTGGTGTTTCCTAGAGCCGGGCAGCTCATAGCGCACTGGACTCGGCTGCCTCGGAGACCAGCGGGACCAGGAAAACTCATAGGTGTAACTGCTACGTGACCAGAGGTAGCCCAGGCGCCACGGGCAATCGAGAGTCGCCACCGAGCTTCCAGGATGAATGGGGAAAGTGACTGAAACTCAGTGAGAAATCGGTTACGACTCCGAGGCCTTGAGAGCAAAGCCGACTTCCCTAGAGTGTCCCCACTCCAGGCTGTCGCGCCCGCGCGGAACTGACATGGCGCCCTCTTGGCCGGAGCTTCCGGGCGGGTCCTTCCGACGGCCCCCTTGGTGATTCCACCACTCAGCTTCCTTCCCGGCCTGCCTCGCGCCGGTCGCCGGGCTGGGCCAGAGCAGCCAAGATGGCCGACTTTGAGGATCGGGTGTCGGATGAGGAGAAGGTAAGGGGTCCGCCTCTCTCTTTTACCTCCTCCCCCGACGGGGCTTAGGGGTCCGAGCCGGCAGCGGTGGGGAGCCTGACGATGTCCCCGGGAAAAAGAAGGTCGTTTCCCGGTGCTGGCATACTCCCTCTGCACCCGGGACGCTTCCTTCCTTAAAGGGGCTTTCCTTTGCCTCACGGTGGCCCCAGTTCCCCATTCCTCAACTCTTTCTATTCTGGACCGAGCACAGCCTTCCTTTAAACGAGGAGACACTTTACGTGATTGACTTTTAACTGTAGACCCTTTTTGTAATTACAAGAGAGGAGATGAAGGTGATGTTGGGACGTGTCATGCAGCAGTTATTTTACCGCCTTTGGCTCTTGGGGCTCACCCCATCCCCCATCTATAGGTATGATTGGGGTTAGTTTGGGACGAGTCACTTCCTGATCAGAGTAGCCTCCTTAACTTCCCTTTTGCTCCTCCTTCCTCAGGAAGTGATTTTGCTGTCACGACTCCTTGACAGGGAGAGGTCCTCTGGTGTTATCTATCCACCTAACTGCACGCCCTGGTCTTTTCTCAGCTAGTGACGATTGAACTAATTCTATAAAAATAAATCAGTAAACCTCAGGGCACTTTTGTTCCTGCTGCTGCTGTCTTCCGCATGGACAGCCCCAAGGTGACTCTATCCCTTCTGTCTATCTTAATCTTCTTAACTATATTTTTTCAAAGTAGTTTTGGCTTCCTGTTCAGTGAGGAGTAGCCAGTAGACTTTTTTTTTTCAACTCCAGAAAGGTTTGGTAGTAAATAAACCCCACATTAACACATTCAGTTTAAATGACACACCCAACCCTTTTTGATGACCTGCTGTGGTGTTTGATAGCTAGGTTTGACAGTGTGCATTCGGTAGTTAGATCTTTAAAGGATGCATTATAAATTAAAGGGAATAATTTTTTCTCAAAACAGCAAACATTTACTAAACAGTTTTTCCAAAAAACTGGCTCTTCAGTAAACACAGCATTTTAGGGTTGGTAGAAGTTAGAATGGTCTCACTAGATAACTCCTTATGGGACAGGAATATGTTTTTTGTTTCCTTAAGCGACTGTTACAAAGTGTGTGCCCTCCAGCGTTCTATAAAATCTGCCCGGGTTCTTATAGTAGTGAAAATATTGGAGATTGTTGGGAGGAACATACTATTTTTGATCACCTCTCCATAAAGGATAACTTATACTTGCGTATGTGTAGGCCATCATTTGTAAATGCTGAAAAGGTGCTTAATGCCTTTACAAACCACTTAACAGGGGCCGGGATGGCAGTTTGTTGGTAGAGCAGTGTCCTGTGTTTGAACTTCAGCATTAGTATCACAAAAGATAAAAGCCAACAAATAGCACACGAGCCTTGTTTTCTCTTATGTGGGGATGGAGCATCACAAATGTAAATAAATACCTAAGAAACTAAAAGACATAGCTCAATTAACAGTGGAAAGAAAACTATAGCAAAATGTTTATTCTAAGGCAAGTACTTTTGGTTCACATAGCATCGTTAGAGTGAAATTTTATTCTGTTTCTTGAGGCTGGGTCTTGTGTGTCTCGTGTGAGCCTCCAACTCACTATATAGCCAAAGATGACCCTCAACCCTGATCCTCTTATCTTTACCTCTCAAGTACTACTGTAAAACACATATGCCATCACACTTAGATTTGTTGCTTACTTTTAATAAGGATAGAACAAGCCAATCATAATTAGTAAATCTGCCCCAGAAGTAACCATGAACTTTATTCCTGTCTTAGTAAAGAGTTTGTTTTTTTGTATTTTTGGGACAGAGTCTTGCTAGGTAGCCCTAGCTGGTCTGAAACTTGCTGTGTAGACTGGACCGGGCTCCAATTTGTTCTCTTGCTTTTGCCTTCCATGTGCCAAACCCCATGATGCTGGGTTTAGTAGAGGTGTTTTATTGTTGTTGTTGTTGTTGTTGTTTTTCTATGACTACATTGTCTTTATTGTTGTAGATAAAGAAGTGTAATGATACAGTAAAAATCCTTATGATTTGAGCCAGGTATGGTGGAGCACACCTTTAATCTCAAGGCTCAGGAGGCAGAGGCTGATGGATCTCTGTGAGTTCAAGGCCAGCTTCAGTCTAAATGTGAGTTCTAGGACTACATAGAGATATCCTTAAGACTTGAGATTCCTGTAGTTTTATTAGATTCCTTTCCTCAGAGTTGACAGACACATTCATATCTAAATCTATGAGTAGAAAGAAAGTGCTTTGTAAGACTTCCTGGTTTGGGAGCTTTTTACCTTTGCCTGCTTTTCCTTTTAACCTTCAGATTTATTTTATCTGAATTCAAAACTTGAGAAAAGGTAGGAAGAAAGGCTGGGCCTAATAGTGCCTGTCTGTAATATTCTTGGCTCTTGGGGGGTAAACACAAAGAGGTTTACAAATTCAAGCTACATGAGTGGGACCCTTTCTTAAAAAAGAAAAAAAAAACACTATTCTGAGAAAAGGTTTTTCCAAGATACTTCCTGATTTGAATGTTTTGGGACTCATAAATAAATAACCCTTGCTGCACCAAGTATTTGTTTCCTTAGGGTTGTTGGCCGTCCCCCCCCCCCCCCCCCTTCTGCCAGTCTGAATTCTGTATCCCAAGCTACTCTAGAACTCATTTATAGCCCAAACTTTAAACTTAGGGTGATTCTCTGTATTGGGATCCTCGGTATTAGGCTTAGAGTCATGAACCACCATGCTCAGCAGTACAGACTAATTTTAAAATCAGGAATAAAAAAGATATTCTTTATTGTTCCAGGCCTGGTGGCCCACATCTGTAACCCCAGCTGCTTCGGAATCTGAGGCAGGAGGATAGAAAAATTTAAGGTCTGTTCAGGCTACAAAGCAAGATGAAACTGTCTCAAAAATGAAGTGAAAAAGAAAAAAGGGGATGGGAGATGGGTTGACTGTATAGGTCAGTGGTAGAGCACTTGCCCAGCATCTGCTTTAAAGCCCCTAGGACCAATTCCCTCTTTAAGGAAATCCAGAATTTCCATTTTCTTCTTTCTTGTTAAAGACTTCAAATGCATTTCATTTCGGGTGGGTATGTTTTGTTTTTGTTCTCTTTTGTTGTAAGTAGGCTTATTATGGTGCCAAAAGGAATAATTTAATATTCTTTATCTTCTTTATGTTTTCAGAAACATAAACCCTTCCAAAAGTTTGGTGTCTGGGGTCTCTGATTTTCTTTCGAACATTTCTTTAAAAGCAAGACTTTTATAACCAGCTGCCAAAGCTTTTGTCACTGTTAGAGGAAGTTGTTTTTTTTTTTTTTTCACTTCTGCCTTGTTACCTGAAATGGTCAGAATGTGCTGTCTGAAGAAAGCAGGAAGTGAGAAGTGTTGTAACAGGCAGATAAATGCTTCAAGTCTTATCCTGGAGTTGAGTATCTGGAGACTATTCTAGGTACTTGTGCTCTTCAGTTAACTTAGCTTTAAAAGTTAGCCAAGACCACAGGTCCTAATTAGGAAGTTTGAGGTGTGCCATGAATTACTTTTTTGAGTTCTCTGCCTTATCTGTTTTCTTTATTTGTGATTCAGCATTGGTTTGTTGGTTTGTTTTTTTTTAATCCACCCCCCCAACAATTAAGAGAATTCTAGGACTGAAAAAAAAATGATTAGTATGGTTTTCTCTTTAACTTAATGAGTAAAATATGTGCATACACTTAAGGATAATGATAAGTGGGTCTGTATGCTTTTAATTTAGATGGCAATGTCCTTTGTAAGGGTTTATTTGTTCCATTGGATGTTTGTGTTTAGTAACAGTCTCATTCTGTAGCTCAGATAGTCCTTACTTTCTCTGGGCACCCCTCTTTCAGCTTCCTGGGGTGCAGGGATTACAAGCAGGGTTTATCACACATCATGCCTGGCTTAAGGCATTTTTTTTAAAGCTTTTTGTTTGTTTGCTTTGCTTTTAAATCAAGATATTAGTATGTAGCTCAGGTTAGCCTGCAATTGGATGTGTAGCCAAGGCTGGCCTTATACTGTCTCAGCCTCCAGAGTGCTGGGATTACAGGCATAAACTATTGTGCCCAACTATAAAATCTGCTGCTGCTTCTTCCTCTTTTTCTTTCTCATTCTTTCTTCTAGAAACAGGTTTATCAAACTGTTTAGTAGAGATGTAAAAAATATAGATAAGGCCAGTGAGAGATGGCTCAGTGGGTAAGGGTGCTTGTTGGGCAAACCTGGTAACCTGAGTTCAGTATATGGAATGCATGTAAAGATAAGGGAAAGAAATGACCTCAGAGTTGTCCCAAACATCTGTACAAAGGCTTTGACAAATGCACCCCTCCCTACTTTAGTAACAGCAACAGTTTTTAAATCTTGTAAATAGAAGCTAGGATTTAAGAGCTTTGTTAGAGCTCATGGAAATCTACTTTTAGGCTGGATATCCTCAATTATAGACTTTAATGGATGAGTTAAATCCTTGTAGGATGAAGTAAGCTCTGAGTCTTATTTGCTGAGACTTTTTTTTTTTTTTTTTTTTTTTTTTTTGGTTTTTCGAGACAGGGTTTCTCTGTATTGTTTTGGAGGCTATCCTGGAACTAGCTCTGTAGACCAGGCTGGTCTCGAACTCACAGAGATCCGCCTGCCTCTGCCTCCCGAGTGCTGGGATTAAAGGCGTGTGCCACCACCACCCGGCTTGCTGAGACTTTCTAAGAAGTCATTAGTTAACATTCATTTTATCATTTTCATCTTCCTTCTCCTTAGTTAGTTCTGCTGTTAGTAGTAGTCTTATAATTCATTACAAAATCTTGAACCAGAACACAAAACCTAAACAGTTATGTGACTATAGGTTTATCATGATTTCTTCTAGAACATTGAACTGTTTTATTAGAACCAGCCATGGATGCTAAATATTGTATAATTAGTCATAATGTAGACCCCAGGTTTGTTTGTTTCTCAGCCATTCCTTTTGTATTAGACTGTTTTCTATGAACTGTGAGTGAAAACCCAGATAGAGGTGACCACTTAAGGAATTATAAA